GTGCATGTATCCAGTTGCTACTCGCACCTTGGATTTACATTTCGACAGCACTATCGGCTTCAACACCCGCGAAAACCATGTGAATGACACCCAAGATGAAAGAATTGATATCTATTGCAGCCGCTATCTTGGATTTACATTTCGACAGCACTATCGGCTTCAGCACTCTCGAAAACCATGAAAATGACACCCATGATGAAAAAATTGATATCTATTGCAGCCGCCATCTTGGATTTATATTTCGACAGCACTATCGGCTTCAACACCCTTGTAAACCATGAAATTGACACCCAAGATGAAAAAATTGATATCTATTGCAGTCGCCATCATGGATTTACATTTCGACAGCACTATCGACTTCAACACCCTCGAAACCCATGAAAATGACACCCATGATGAAAAAATTGATACCCATTGCAGCCGCCACCTTGGATTTACATTTCGACAGCACTATCGGTTTCAACACCCGCGAAAATCATGAAAATTACACCCATGATGAAAAAATTTATATCTATTGCAGCCGCCATCTTGGATTTACATTTTTACAGCACTATCGGCTTCAACACCCTCGAAAACCATGAGAATGACACCCATGATGAAAAAATTGGTACCTACTTCAGCCGCCATGTTGGATTTACATTTCGACAGCACTATCGGCTTCAACACCTTCGAAACCCATGAAAATGGCACCCATGATGAAAAAATTCATACCCATTGCAGCCGCCTCCTTGGATTTACATTTCGACAGCACTATCGGCTTCAACATCCGCGAAAACCATGAGAATGGCACCCATGATGAAAAAATTGGTACCTACTTCAGCCGCCACCCTGGATTTACATTTCGACAGCACTATCGGCTTCAACACCCTCGAAACCCATGAAAATGACACCCATGATGAAAAAATTGATACCTATTGCAGCTGCTATCTTGGACTAACATTTCGACAGCACTATCGGCTTCAACACCCGCGAAAACCATGAGAATGACACCCATGATGAAAAACTTTGATGTACTTACTTTTAGTACGTACTACTATTATTTATTCTGTGCTTTTAAAATATAGTAATAAAAACATCTCTTATTATTATTATAATCAAGTATTTAAGAAATTTGGTTATTCGAATATTGTGTATTTGTACAGCGATCTTTTTGAGCCGCTGCAAACAACCGAATCAATATCCACTCACGAAGGCGACTGACGACCCCGTCAGGGTACATGTATTCTGTGCTGACGACGAACTGAGTGAGTGAGTAAACTACTCTGTGGTTGTAGCTCCCTATTTACAGAAATAATTTACATACAAGGCTACTAAATCAATGAAAATTTCGCCATTTTGGAGCCGATAAAAATTAATTATAGCTAAACAATACAAAATTACACTGCTATTTACATTCAGTGGCTTCCCACATGATAGATGAAGAGATTAAAAAATAGATTGAGTTAAACACTTGATATTTTCAAAAGTTATCATGATATATTACAAGCCGCAAGAATTGATAAATCCACACCATAAGCCACTAAAACCTCTTTTTTTTGTTTAAAAATAGCAATTAATCGATTTAAAAAAAATATTAATAAGTTCAACAATCATTTATCTTTCTAACAATGTGCCTTTTATATAATTTATATGTATAATATGATTGCTAGATACGATTTTATTCGATAAAACGTTGGAATCTTAATTTTTAGGCGATAGTAGAACATACCTTGCGCTTTCGCTTAAGGCATGCAAAATATCAACCGTTTCGAATACCTTTACCGAGTAAATATTTGGTTCACGTGTCCTAGTGATTAGAGCGCATGGCTAATGCATCCAGCATTATTTACGTTTCCTTGACCATGTTTCTAAGTCTACCTTTTAAAACGAATAAGGGTTATATACGAGCGCATAGTCTATTTCATATTAAGTGGATGCTGTGATCTATATACAAATCAATCTTTGATTAAGAATCAAAATTCAGATGCGTTATTGCCTTTTGGGGCTTATATGAATATTAAGGCTTGGCCTAGTTTAAACGCTAGGAATTCTTATCTTTTAGTGTACTGTTTTCGTACCAATTTACCAAATATTAAAATTTAATTAATTAAAATTTCACTTATCTGTATAATTAAATACAAAACATAAATAACATTCCTAAGAAATGTTCACAGTTTTAGTGGTGAAACTTGTTTTATGTTCGGATGAAACAACATCTTAGAGGATTCAAGGATTAAATAATAAGTGTGTACCATATTTTGTTTATCAATAAACATTATATTATATGATATTCGTATTCAGTATAGAAAGTCTCCAGCTGTCATCAGTCATCAGTCATCACCCAGCGAAACACAGCAGCATTACCGTTACAGCCTATTAAAGTCCACTGCTGGACATAGACCTACCCCATATATTGCCTCATAGGAGGAATATTTGCCATAGTTGCCACGTTTGACAAGCTGGTTGGGAAACGCAGTTTATTTTATTTATTTTCAGTTGTTATTAAGAAGACGCTGCTGCCCATCTCCTGATATGCTTCCCTCTGACGCCTCTTACGTTGATACCCATAGGTTATCTCGTGGGTGTCGTCTATTGCGATCCACTTAATAATGAATAAATAAATATATACCCTATAATCTGAATTTTAGTCACGATGTCCAGTCTGAATCGAGATTTGTCATTTGATAGGATTCCCTCACACTCATAGTCCGATGAGTCAGCAGTCCGACACGACCGGAGAGAGATCAGGCACAAGACCAACGGCTTTATGTGCTTTCCGAGGCACATGAATAACAAGCCACCTTTCTGACTTCGGGTTGTTACTGAGAATTTTTTGTCAGAAACCCCTTTAGGCTATACTCTAGGTAGACCTTTGATAGGCTGTAATGGATGGATGGAAAATAAAAAAAAAATTAAACAAAACTGCATTTAATTAAATAAAAACATACATACATTTCAACTCAAGTTTAACAATTGTTCACAATAACTAAGTAATACACAATAATTTAATATTTAATAAAACTACCCCAACCGCTGCATTATGTCCTGGTTTATTCTGAAAAATTAAATAGAATATTAGCACTTAACGAAATTCATCTGGGTATTCATCATCTCATATAGTCTCTAGAATGGTATCGTTACGGGGTACAGCCTTGCTGAAGTTTTATTACGGCTATAGCACAAATGGGTTGTCTCTACCAGCAGGGCTAGTATTTTATCCCCGGGGAAAGGAGATAAATTTTATCCCCTCGCTTAGTTTTATCCACCGTTCGAGCATGGGCACACCGGTTGATATAATAACCACAGTAGATAAAATGGGAGATAGACTTAGACTTAGGTAGATTATTGTATGAATATAAACTTAAACCCACGTCCAATGAACTAGGATAGAATTGTTCCTTCCCAATGTCAAAAAAGTATATTTTTTTATCTTTTATTGGGCTCCATGCTACGGACGTGGGATATATATCTATTCGTTATGTCAAACGGGGATATACTTCTCCCCGTTGCCGTGCTTTGGCATAGGGACAAGATAATTTTATCTCTTGTCAGCTATATAATATATAAAATTATTATATAATATAATATTATATAAAATTTTTGTCCCCAGCCCATGCTAGCCGTGCAGGGAAGGATTATGCATTCACAGAATACCAGCGTAAAATAGCAGCTTAATGCTACTATGCTTCGTATGGTGAGTGTAGAGCAACGGAGATCCTTATTACAGAAAACTAGGCATTCTATTTTAGTCCTCAGTGTTGATAACGTAATCTGCATTTTGATTCTTAATCGCGGATTGATGTATATATCTATGGACCAGAGCATAAACTCCACTTACCATCAGGTAGACTGTGTGTTCATTTATCACCCTTATTAACAAGCATTATTACATTACATTAAAAAATAATTTATTGTTGATTTTTTTTAAAACCGCTGAACCGATTTCGTAAAAATTTAAATAGGTCCATCTGCAAAAGAATTTTCCAAATCGGTTCAAGCGTTTTCGAGTAATCGGTGAACATACATAAAACAAAACATTCCGACGAATTGAGAACCTCTTTTTTGGAAGTTGGTTAAAAAGGTACGATTTCAAGACGAATTACATTATTGACAAAATCGAAGCAAAAAGCAGACAGCAAACAGGTTACGTTCTTGCTTTCGACACAAGAGTTTATCAATAATACAATTTGTTTTGAAATATAATCATTTGATATGTAGGATAAGTTTTTATTTAATTGATGTATATTAACCTCTACTACTCTATCACTCTCCCATATCATCCCGTGGGTATTGTAAGAGGCGAAAAAGGGAAACAAATCGGGAGATGGGTAACTGCATCTCCCTAATGAGGACTCAAAAATAAGCTACGGTTGCTAAGCCTCTGTTTGGACTTTAAAAGGCTGTAACTTTTAAAACATAAAAAACTTTTTTAAGGAGGCAATTAAAAAAAAATAAGTTTTATTTATTCTTTATTTCTTTAATCCAAACATGTATAAGGTTATATTCATTTCATTTAAGGTCTGCAGGTGCACTATTAGGTAATTTATTATTATTATTATTATTAAATATTGGAATGTAAAACAGATATTACTGCGACTCTGTTAAGGAGATATTAGCCACCGAGAGTTGCTACATAAAATATCTCTTCTAAGCCATTTTAGGCGATAGAATTCATTGTCACTCCTGGGGATTAAAATGCAATGCCGCGTGGCCAGTAAAAAGGTCACCGGTTCTCTACACTCACCATACGAAAGGACATTATGCAGCTAGTTCACGCTGATGCTCTGTTAGAGCGTGGTCTTTCCTCGCTCGAGCCGGGCGAGCTCGAGAAAGTTAAATTTTGTGAAACATTATTTCAAATTCAGTCAATTGAGAGACAGTCAACAATCTTGTAGAGTTCACTGTGGATGGGATCGCGTGTGAAACATCTGCAACTGGTTGCATACCATAATGCTTTTTGAATCCTCAAAATCGCGCATATGATCGATTCCTAATTAATCTATTTATTTCAATTAAAAATATTACCTTCGCACATAGGCTCGCCTCCGTTGGTGAAAGTCTAAAGCGATGGGGTCGATGTCCACACGCGAATCACTGTCTAGACCAGGTAATAAGTCCGAAATCCCCTCGCTGTCCGGGCCATCGTCTAAGAGATAAAAATGACAAAGGTTTATTGTACCCGAGATGCACCAGGTTAATATTGTCATTAACGCAGCCTTCGTTCGTCTAGTGAGGTGGTGATCATGATTTCCCCGGTTTGAATTCCAGGTCGTGCCAAATAAAAATCAGTTATTCAGTTATTCCGTCAAGAAATTCTCAGTAGATGCCTGGAGTCAGGAAGTTGGCGGTGTCTCACCACCGTGCCTCGAAAAGCATGTAAAGTAAACGACATCGACTACATTAATGATGTTCTCATTTTATTTATATTGAAATCGGATGTACAAAATTTTAATTTTACCACTTCTTTTAATTTTTTTAATAGATAGATAAGGGTGATGAATGAAGACACAATCCATCCGATGGTAAGTGGTTGCTGTGGCACATAGACATCTAGACATCTACATCTATCCTCGATTACGAATCAAAATGCAGATGCGTTGCCATCCGTGACCACTAAGATGGAATGCCTAGTTTCCAGCAAAAAGGGTTTCTGATTCTCTACACTCACCATAGGAAACACAGCAGTGTTAAGCTGCTAATTGACGCTGGTATTCTGTGAGAACTCATTCGTGCTACAACTATACTACTAATATAGCTGCAGTATAGCTCCACCACTTACAAATATATCACACTTTATGTAATTCTTTAGCGCGTCACCCTCTGAATTCTTAGTAATAATATAAACTCTATAGCTCTTACCGAATACCTTTGATTAAAACTGTAGTGAACACTGTCGCATTTAAACTTTAGAAAATATTAGAGAGAATACGGACGGCGGAACTCTAATTTACGGATGTCCGCACGCAATTGGTTGATTTGTTTCAATTTTGCAAACTTTTTTCTTTACTTACCAAATTGACTAGCGTGGACACTGCCATCATAGTAAACTGTTCCTTCGGTATCAGGCTTCAACTCTATAAAAACCAATATTTAAGTCAATGTTTTCTTTTTTAAGTTACAGTGGCTGTAAAGTTTGCCTTATATATATATATATATATATATATATATATATATATATATATATATATATATATATATATATATATATATATATATTATATAAAGGCGACAAAGGAGCACATAATCCACCTGATGATAAGTAGATGCTATGACCCATATATGATATGTTTTATTTTTATACCTTCTTTATTATTATGAAATACAGATAACAAAATAATGCCTAAACAAAATGATGCCCATAGATCTACCCTTGGTAAAAAGTCAAAATACACACTCCCAAGAATTACCTCGTTACCAGTAAAAAGGGTATCTAGTTCTCATACACTCAACATACGAAATATATTTACTTTGTTGTTCCACCGACGCTGGTATTATGTGAGAGCGTGGTCCTACCCCGGTCGAGTCGACGTATTCGTGCTACAACTACAATATCTTTACAGCAAAGCTTTACCACGTGAATCATTTTTAAAATCTTTCTCTGATTCGTTATTTATTAAATGCATAGGGGTAGGATGCACTTTCACTGCTGGAAGCTAATGTGTTATGGATTCATGTGTTGAATATACACACGGTGCATATTTTCTAAGGAAACATAATTATGTTATGTTTCCGTCCTACGGCGTTGTTGCCGGTGAGTGAGAAATACGACTACGCGTCTTGAAGCGACGCGACGTGAGTATATCAAACAATAGTTGTAACTACACGTGTCTTAGGTTGTGTACGTTGTCGCGTTGATCAGTTGGTGACAACAATAAAGCGTAAGTTTTATACGTGGTACGTACATTTATACGTAGAGCCACGCTGCAGCTATATTATGATTGTAACACAAATGGGTCGGCTCGACCGGGGTGGGATTACGCTCTCACAGAGTAGAATAGCAGATTAATGCTGCTATGTTTCGTATGGTGTTTGTAAAGAAACAGATACCCTTTTTATTAGAAAAGAGGCATTCCATCTTAGTCCTCACGGGTGACAACGTACTTGCATTTTGAATCTTAATCGAGGATAAATGTAGATGTCGATAGGCCACAGCATCCACTTACCATCAGGTGAACATTGTGATATGTATGTGTGTGTTTGTGTGTGTATTGCCTCACACATCGTCGCTTTCTGTCGCTTGTGATGGACAATGAGTAAGCGTTTGCATAGTAGCGGCCGCGAGTAGTAGTCCAGAACAACTGTTTTGAATTGTCATGTACCATTTAGTTTGATTAAGTATTCTGTTATCAAACATTTTTATTTTGTTATCTGTATTCCATAATAATAAAGAATATATAAAAATAAAAACATAAGTACTAGCTGTATTCAGTTTTTCTGCAAAATAGCTCCCAAATATTATCGTGAATTGTAAGGCACGTTGCCTTTATAGGATTTGAGTCGGAAGTTTTTTGAGCAACTATTACTATTTAATACTCGTCCTCTTGATGGCTGAACAATGTCATTTTGCACGTAGAGTCTTAAAATCGCTGAGTCGCGGGACCAGACTTCATCTATCGCCCGCATGCATCGGACGCTTCTACATGCAAATCCATTATAGGACGGTGGTTACTGATCAAATAATAAATTAAGCAAAGGTATTATAATTCAAAGGGAAATTGAAACAAGAGATAGGCAGCATCTTTCCGATAATAACTCAAAATTATAAAAAACTGCGGTTGCCAACCCACCTGGAACGTGACAACTATGGCATATATCTACGTTGTGATGATGGTTTTTTATGGTATATCAATAGCTCGTAAAATACCACTGCTGGATCATTAAAGTATAATCAACACGATCGCTAGGCGGATTGTTAGTCGCAGTACTAGACGTCTCGAAGATTCGGCAATGTTTCCACTTACTGGCCAGATATTTTACAAATGACTTACACTAGATGGTGATCAAGTATAAACTATCATAGATAGTTTATACTTGATCTAGTCTATCTAGAACAAACTATTAGTATAGTTATCTATACACATATATTTTTCAAAGACTAGCTAAATTTTAAACTTAAGTTTAAATATATAAAAGTATGAATAAATAAGGCTACTACATACTTTTATTTGCAAATATCCCAAATTGAATGTGATTTTTGGGCAACAACGTTTTTGCCTACCGATCGACCCTTGCGAATGTGTACGTGCGAAGTAAAATCAGTTAAAATAATACATTACCACGCATTTTGAATTTAAAAGATAAAAAGGACAGAATGTTTGAGATTTGTTAAAATAAATTTTTCTTCAATATTACTTCTTCTGAACCTTCTCTGCAAATTTGGCCGGTTATTGCAAAATAACCTTGTATAAGCGAAATACCACTAACTGACTGACTCACCACGAGATCTCGAGATATTATTATTTTCATATATAGTTTGCACTATTGTTATCAGAAAGATGGTGCTGCCCATCTCCTATTTCAGTTTTCCTTCGTTGCCTTTCACGATACCCTCGGGATGATATGGGGTAGTGTATTATTTTACACCACCACTACACAAATTAGTAATATTAAAAAATAATGATCTTTACCATACTGTTTTAAGTTCGACTCCAACTGGTCATTATCTGAAACAAAAGAGCAAAGAATTTCAAATTTATATTCAATTTTTTATTTTTAAATACAGTAAATGACACCGTGACGATAAAGATAAATAATTAAAAATTAAAAATTTTGTATATCCGACTGCAATATAAATTATTAAGAATAATTCAAAAACTATTGGTCTGACCTTGACCAAATTCATAAGGAACCGCATGAGAAGCACTAGCTTTCAAATAAAAAAATAATTATCGAAATCGGTTCACCCAGTAAAAAGTTATGAGGTAACACACATAAAAAAACATACAGTCGAATTGAGTACCTCACCTCCATTTTGAAGTCGGCAGAAAATAAAACTTATTTGGTTCACTGCGTTCAACACATAGGTATACAAATATTTTACAATTTCAAAAGGACGAGAGAATATAAATTAAGAAAAAAAAAAAGAAAAAAAGAAGAACAATTATAACCGATATTAGAGGCTCACAGCAGCAGGCTTTTAATAAATAATGTTAAATAGAATTGACAGGAATAGACAATTAGAGGGTTGGCGTATTTGCACCCCCTTGTTGTCGACTACATATTATGTAGGTTATTACTCAAAGATGTCATCATTCTAATACCGCAGGCATCGCCCGCCGGTTCCCCCTAACCCTCGACTAACAATATTTACTAAATTCTCCTGGTTTAATTCAAACAAAAATACATTCCAAAGTATGAAATTATTCATTGTCTACCCTTTCCGGTAGATGGCGTGAAAAGTCTCACTTCGTATTCACCCCGAACTTATTACAGTTAAAATATATAATTAATTAGTGTCTCGACTACTGCACCAAACATCGGGTCCAGATTTTATATTTTCTTTTTTGGAACTAAACCCACGATGGAATTATGGCTATTATGAATATGAGTTATCTCGGTTTGGTGTTTTGTATGGTGAATGTAGAGAATCGGAGTCCCTTTTTACTGGAAACAGGGCATTCCACCGTAGTCCTCAGGGATGACAACGCATATGCATTTTTATTCCTAATCGGGAATAAATGTAGGTACAAGTCTATCTCTAACATACATATTATGAATTATCGTCTCGACAAAAGAAATATATTTTGTTAATAAGACGCCCTCAAATAGTCAAGACCTTCAGAAGTTATACGATTATTAACAAGAAATAATAATATAAACAAGAATTAAGAAATTTAATTTAAATATACGTGGTAGAGGTATTTTTTGTGGTACAAGTAGTGTATAATGTAGTATTATGGCTTAAGCCCTAAAGGGTCGGCTCAACTAGGAAAGAGTCATGAGTATTTTCAAGGAATACTAGGGTTGAATAGTAGGATTATGACACGGTGTTAATGATTTTTACGTGGTAGAGCCATACTGCAGCTATATTATGCTTGTAGCACAAATGGGTCGGCTCGACCGGGGAAGGACCATGCTCTCACAGAAAACCAGCGTAAAATATCAGCTTAATGTTCCTGTGTTCCGTATGCTGAGTGCGGAAAACCGGACAACCTTTTAACTGGATACGAGGCATCACATTTTAGTCCTCAGGGGTGACAGGGCATCTGCATTTTGATTCTTAATTGAGGATAAATGTGGATGTCTATGGTGTAGTCCATAGACACTTACCACGTTGATTATGTGACCGTCTGTCACCTCTATTCTATAAAAAAATAGTGCGTGACGAGTACGTTATGATCTTTTTACTTGTAACTAGACATTGCATCGTAGGCCTTAGGTGTGCCAACGTCTAATCATTTTGGTTATATTAAAAACGGAATATCAATAATTTGAAGTAAAAAGTTCGAACCTGGAAAGAATATTGCAGAGTCTGTAGTATCTTGTGCTGCAGTAGTAGCGGGAACAGTTATCATGTTATCCGTATTGCTTGCAGATGGGGTAGTTGAAGATATTTCTGTTAAATTAGAATATATAAAATATTAAAACATAAAAAAACTAAAACTAATAACTTCAATTATCATGCAGTCCTACTCTCCGTGGTATCATACCAAGAACGCTGGCTGTGTTTCCTCACTAAATGGCTATAGTTGGACTTTGAGCGAGAAAAGAACAAGCCTTCTAATCATCAGCAGCAACGACCAGTCGCGAATAGATTCCTTTAGGAACTACAGCGCACGTGGACTCTAAGGACTAGAATTGTTTCTAGATAAGGTAGAAGAATTTAAAAAATATCAGTGATTAATCTATTGCAACATGAGGTAAAAATATTTTAAGATGGATCATAAATAGTAGATTATTCTAATGTTGTGAGAAAGTCTAAGATAATTCATCATGTAAATGCCTGAACAGACCTGCGGCCTTCCGTAGATGGTGGTAAAACATCTTGCATGTAAGACTCCTGTGAAAAATCTCGCGATACAGCTTAAAAGCACCTCGTTTAGTGTGAAAAAAAAAACTCATTTTCAAATAAATAATTGTCAAGTGAGGGGGTATAAATAATCTATTACTCCATTTTTTATAATGCTTATATAAGAAATATAAATGCATCTAGCCAAGAATTCTGGCATATAACAGAATTATATTGAACTGAGCTCATTCAAATAATGTTTACATTGTTTATCAATTTTTACTAATACTTATGGGTATATATAATAATATATGTTTAAGGAGCTTACCTCCAGACCTTACTGTGGACATTTCATTGATTTTCGAGTCCTTTTGCAGAGCTATTGAGTGAATTGTTGTTACTTTATCGTGATCAGAGCGCTTAGCAGTAACAGTTGACTGAGGTATTTTCATATCTACAAGTAGTAAGACAATGTATTTATTATAATTTAAAATTAAGTGGGAATTAGTTTAAAAAAACTATTCTAATAGCATAAGGAGAGCATTATTTTATTAGTATTGTTTTCAAGCTTACCAATAAATCTTAATCTTCTTAATGCCTTTTCAATGCACCAGTGTAACATTTGCTCGTCTCTATCTTGACCAATTTCTTTACAAAAATTTGTTGCCATAGTTATAAATGGATCTTTATCAGATTTTTTGGTTTTAATCCCTGCAATTTTTTTTCCTATCTGCTTTTCCAACGACACGTTACTTTTATTCGGATTTGTTTTCGCCTCATCCTTATTAGAATAAATATTGATATCTTTACCCATACGTATTTTTTTGAAATTTTTCTTAGAACTTTTTATCCATCGCTTTTGTCGATTCAAATGTTTATCCGCTTTACCTTTTTGAACAAATGATTTGACATTATTCACAGGAAAAAGGTTTGTGGGCTTCTGAACAAATAATGGATTTTCGTTTCGTTTATTTTTCACGTTGCGTGTGAACGGATTTCCAGGAGAAGATACGAAACTAGACAAGATTTTATTTTTCATCAAGACGTCAATATATGTGTTATTAAAATAATACTTATATATTAAATCGTCCACTGTATGGTCGTCTTTCTCTTTTAATAATTGATTATCATAATTTATGATTCGACTGATTGAAGGAACTGATAATAGATTTATTTTAACTGATTCAGTATTTGGCGTCTGAGTGGATGTTGTTGAGGTTGATTTATCAATATCGTTAGGTTTAGTTTCTGATGTCTCGTTAGGTTTAGATAATATTGCATTTAGTTTCTGTGGTATTGGATTCTTAGCGTCAATGTAAATTTGTTTAGCTTTTTTCAATATTCGAGCAAAATTGTTTTGCCGTAACGATATTTCATTTTGCGTTTTTGCTATTAAATTTTGTTTTAGGTTTATTTTTTCATTTTGTGCTAACATCAGCTTCTGTATGTTATAAAACTGTCGTTGTTGAATCAAAAATTTCTTTTGTTGATTTTCGAATTCTGCTAAGTTCTTTGTCAGTTCAATTTCCTTATTGTTATACAATTCTTCTTTACTACGTAGTTTTGCTTCCAAATCTTTTAAATTCTCATTAAATTTCATTAAATATAAATATTTAACATCAAAATCATTAAATTTGGTCATTAACAGTTGAGCATTTTTCATAAACTCGTCATTAATTGTACTAAGTTTGGTATGTATTCGTTTTATATCATTATGCTGCTTCATTACTTTCTTGAAAGTCTTTGTTAACATAGATAAAACCTTAATCAATCCCTTTTCTGTTATTGGTTTATTTTTATTTTTATTTTCTTCGTTTTTAGGTAAAATTTTATATGAGTTTACATCGGGCATGGGAGCATTTTGATGCCAGGCTCTATCATCAAACACATTTCGATCATTTTTTTTCTCATAGCTATCTTCCGTTTTGTTTACTTCCTCAGTTAATTCAATCTTTTTAATAATTTCTGATTCATAGTCTTGTTGCATGCTGCGTTTAGGTGTTACATTAAAATTATGATAAGAATTATTATAATGTTTTTTATTAAAGTCTTCAATTTTTACTAAATTATCTCTATTTAAAATCAAGTCCGCACTCGTATTCGATATATTTTTATTGGTTTCATGTTTAGATAATCTACTTTTGGAACGTATTAGTTCTCTTTTATTAGTGTTTGTTAATATTATCGCCTCTTCATACGGATAATCATTGGAGGTTGTATCCGATTTAGGGTGAGTGATTAATTTAGACTTCATAGGTATAGCTTTGTCATTGCTTATGTTGCTTTTTAAAACATCAGTTGTATTACTGCTTTCTATATATTCCTTGGAAAATTGTTCATCTGTAATATAGATATTGAATAATATTTAACAAAAAATTTAATTTTAAAGTCATAGCCATAATTAAATTAATAAAATGATTTGTCATCACGTAATAAAATTAAATTTATCTCAATAATTAGCTTCGTTAAATTTGTAATACTGTATGTTTTACACAAGTACTCGTATATTAACACTGCAAAAAATACTCTATATACTAATTTTGCAAAAATTGAAAGGTATAACGAAATCATATCAAGAACATTAAAACCATTGAATCCATTTCAATTTCACAATAAACATTTTAGATATTATATTTTGAAATGAATTAGGAGATTTAAATATCATTTATATACCGTCGTCACTTACAATAATAGAAATTGTTGTAACAGGACTTACACGCGGGATACGGTAAAAGTTTATATATAACAAGTGCTTTACCATCTGCTGATCTTTTGCTCCTTTCAATGTAACTGGTTCCAACCATTGGTGAGTCTTGCATAAAGTTTTCACCAAATGCATCGAAATTATTAAGAAGTAAACTATCGGCATCTAAAGAATTTGACCTGAATACAAAATCTCCTGATACCGTCTTCGTTGGTTGATCATCATCAGTTTTCTTTAACCATACCCCTTTATTTAAAATTTTATTCTTTTCTAGTTTAGGTTTCATAAATGTTGTTTCGGTTTCCAAATACGACGAAGTGATGAAACCGATCAAATTAAGGATCAATATTACTGTTATGCTTGACATCACTATCACTATTGCATATCGCGAATGAGAACCGTGTAGAATGAGAGCTATTTGCAATTGTGAGGAATTGGGTTTGTGTATTAATTGATATCCGATATGGAGTGCTGTTTTTTGTCTGTTTGTAAACAAATATCGGTTTAACGTTGTGCTGATAATTTTTATCGATATGCACTGTAGGTGCATTGTATATTATAAAATATAAAACACGATGTAATCAATGTCATAATCACTATTAATAACGAATATATATAACGAATTATTAAACATACACTATAATATAATATAAATGTATACATTCATACAAGATCTATTGTAGCTCAGAGGCTATGCGTTATATTAAGGAATTGAAAGGAACTTTGTGTTTTTGGGTGAAAAATCAAAATAATATCGTATATTATATGTATTCTTATTTTTTTATTGTATTATTATTTTTAATTAATAATACACATAATATTTTTATATTATATGTATTATTAATTAGACAGTTATATGCCTTTGCATATAACTATCTAATCACGGCGTCTAATTGCGGCGGATAATATGCAAATGCATACAATCCGATGTCTAGTAATTAATTTTTTTTTAGTTTCAATACCTATGCGCTTACCGCTTTGTATCCTTGCGCCCCTAGGCAAGTGCCTAGTTTGCTTTAAAAAGAATCCGTCTCAGAGTATTGAAATAAAAAATATTGATAAGGGAATTTAAGAAGTTATACGTTATACGTGATAGAGCTATGCTGCAGTTATATTAGTAGTATAGTTGTAGCACGAATGGGTCGGCTCGACCGGGGAAGGACCACGCTCTCACAGAATACCAGCGTAAAATAGCAGCTTAACCAATGCTGTGTTTCGTATGGTGAGTATAGAGAACCGGAGACCCATTTTACTGGAAAAGAGGCATTCTGTCTTAGTCCTCACGGGTGACGACGCATCTGTATTTTGATTCTTGTAATTGAAATGTAGATGACTATGGGTCACAGCAACCACTTACCATCAGGTGGACTGTGTGCTCGTTTGTCACCCTATACTATAAAGAAAAGAAAGTACTAGAGGTGAAAAGTAAATAGATACATTAATAAATTTTATCGATACAAATATTGAATATGTACCAACACTATTTGTTTACGGTTAACCATTGATGATTTCGTTATGGCTTCGACTTTTATTTGTTTTTGTTTATTCACAATGAATTTTATTTTTTCCTTGACCGCGTACAGATTTAGGCCTCCTTTTGGCGCGATAGGCATGTTTATAAACAATTAAGCGCGTTTCATACAGAGACGTAGAAACTTTGCGCCTTGTTTCACTGTCGTATATAGACAGCCATTAACGACCAAATGGGCTTGTGGTTAGAGTTCTGATTACTTTGGATGCTAATTTTGAACTCGTACGTGGTAGAGTCATCATGCTGCAGCTACATATGATTGTAGCACGAATGGATCGGCTTGACTGAGGAAGGACCATGTCCCCATAGAATACCATTATAAAATAGCAGCTTAATGCCGCTGTGTTTTGTATGGTGAGTGTAGAGAAACGGACACCCCTTTTACTGGAAACGTGGCATTCCATTTTGGTCCTCAGGGGTGGCAGCGCATCTGCATTTTGATTTTTAATCTAGGATAGATGTAGATGTCCATGGGCTACAGAATCAACTTACAGTGTAAGTATACCTACCAGAAATTCTACAAAAATCTCAGCTAGAGATTTTTGTAGATTCCTAATTGTTGGGCCTTATTTTACTATTTATCGTGTATCTGATACTGCATATGGTGGCATTAACAATACAATTCCCGTAATTAAAGTAGTAAGTAATTTCCCGTAGGTGCCCTAAGAGGCGATTATGGAAAAAGCAAACATCTTATGACTTTCGACTGACGGCGGGGTAATCATCAACGCCAGATGTGAATGTGATGTGGCCAGCGACGGACGTTGTAACATACTACCTCCAGCTGTCATCTTCGCATGGGATCAATATCTTAATTAATATACGTTTATAATGTCTTAATACGTTTATATTAAACGTTTATAAGAACAATACTTCATTTTACAATCCTTTAACACGAATGTGTCGCTCTTATAATGAAATGGTTTTGACAGAGTCAGCTTCGCACTCAACTGTTCCACTACATCAAGTCAACTTCACATTAATTTTTTACCAAATAAATTGTCATAAAATAGTTGAACTAAATTTTTTTAATAGATATGTTTACGTATAACACATATTGCAACGGTAGTATCTAAAATATAGAAAACAATGTGTTGAAATACAACAAAAAGATAAAAAACGGCAGGAAATTTTAAAATTTCAATCTTCATACTTACAAAATGATTATGGTGTGCCGCAAGGGAGTGTTTTGGGTCCTTTACTTTTTTTAATTTACATTAATGATCTACCAAATTACATTAAATATAACACAATATTATTTGCTGACGACATTTCTATATTAATACCAAAAACAAATTTTAATTCTAGTTGTAATAAAGAATATGAAAATGAAATAAATAATACAATTGAAAATGTTGTTGATTGATTTACAACAATAATCTAAATATAAATCTATCTAAAACTAAATTTATGCAATTCTACAATGTTAATAGTAAACAGCAATTACTTGACATTAAGTATAATGATGAAAAAATTACTGTCACTGAATGTACCACATTTTTAGGTATAAATTTAGACAAACACTGTAATTGGAAAGATCATGTTGATAAAGTTTGTTCTAAAATATTTAAATTTAATTTTGCTTTACGTAGACTAGCTTCAATCTCGTCAAGAAACACTTCTCTTATAGCATATCATGCATATGTTGCTGCTGTATTAAGATATGGTCTCATATTATGGGGAAACTCGACAGATGTGAACCGTGATTTTATAGCGCAAAAACGCTGTATACGAGCAATCTGTGGCGTCGGGCCACTTGTTTCTTGCAAACCACTATTTAAAGAATTAGATGTTCTTACTCTGCCATCCATGTACATTTTTGGGCTTCCAATATTCGTAAAAAAGTATCCTCATTTTTTTACTAAATTAAAAGATACAGTGAAATATAGTACCAGATACCCCGAAAAAATTATTTTGCCGTCATTAAAACATTAAACTAGTCTGTACTCAAAAAATTGTTATGTGATGGCTATTCAAGTGTTTAACAAAATCCCAAATGAAATAAGGCAATTAGATTATAATCGATTTAGGCGTAATTTATTAAAGTGGCTCTTGGGAAAACAATTTTATTCGGTAAATGAACTGCTAAAAATAAAAGAACGTTTCTAGTGATTGTTAAAAACGCCTTTTCTTCTTTGGTCGTGTTTTAAATTGTTAATATCAAAATTGTAAACTGATGCACGTTTAATTTTAGTTAAATATATTGTATTTTCTAATTATAAATTTTCACATACCAAAATTGGTGAAATATGTGTTACTTTATTATTTCATACAAACATCTTTGTACCATATTTCTTATGAATAAATTTATTATTATTATTATGTATGCGTTTTTGGTTTGTATTCCAGGTCAAAACTTTTTATATATTAGGTATTTATGTTACATAAAAGTGAATATATACTGTTGTGTACATGCAATGAATAAATAAATAAATAAATATAGAACACACTATGCTCTACACATTACGCTAGCCTGTCTAAAATTGACGAAAGAATGGGAATATGCAACGGGAACGAAAATGTACGCAATGATGTCATTGTGATTTAAGGTAGACTCACTATAACACTCTTATGTATAATAAATTTCTCAGGCCGATTTATTTTTTTCATTTTCCTTTTCCGACCGAGATTTCGGTCACGGCGGTGTGTCAACGGAGACTAAACATCTGTGTGGGGCATGATTATATGTCCAAGTGTATGCGCAAGCAGAGGTGCACACTCTACCCTGTCACTCTCGTAGTCCCATGGGACGGTAATCTGACACGGCCGGAGAGAGATAAGGCGTAGATCCAACGGCTTTACGTGCTTTCCGAGGCACAGAAGTGAAACACCACCAGCTTTCTGAGTCTGGGTTGCTACTGAGAATGTCTTGACAGAAAAATTCAACATAACTGATTTTGCCCGAACGTGGAATTCGAAACGGCGACCTTATAATTAACAATTGCGTTTGCGACCACAACTCAAACGAGGCAGTAGATGCTTGAGGGTCTCTCATGACTAACTAATGCATAACAATAACATCACAATAACAACAATAACAGCAATAACACAGCAATGACTGACAATAATATAATGCTGCTGTGATTCGTGTGGTGACTGAAGAGGAAAAGCCTTCTTAACTTAGCTGATGCATTCCAATATAGTCCCTAGCGAAGACAATACATTTTCATTTCTACCGACTTCAAAAATGAGACGGTACTCAATTCGACTTTTTTATGTGTGTTACTCTCTCGTCGGTTCTCGAGTGGCAGCCTCGTACCGGTAGGCGAAGTGTAGGGCGGCTCCCCACTAGATGGAGTGACGACCTGGTAAGACATGCAGGAAGATGGATGCAGATGGCTCAGCACCGTGCTTTGTGGCATTCCTTGGGGGAGACCTATATTCAGTAGTGGACTTGTGAAGGGCTGTAATGATGATGATGATGAAATGGATAACCTATACTTATGTAATATTCAATTTAAATGAATGTCCGTAATATCGAAATAACTGGCATCTATTAAGCTCACTGGTTTATTTGCATGCTATTAAAAGACATGGAATTTTTGTCTGTCTGTCCGTGCTAATATTCGGAATGACTGAACTGATTGTGATAAAACTGATAAAATATGGATAAAATAAATTATTTTTCGTGTTCATCTAAGGGATGTAATAAATTTTTGGAACAACACTTTATTGATTTGAAAAATGTTTACAAAATATTTTTGCAAAATTTATTAAATTTTTTTTACGTCAAGAACACATTACAAAAAATTATGAGTTGAGAAAAATGCCGTCGAAGAGACCCCTAAGGACGAGTGGGCAAAGTGCTTTTCTCAGAGGTTCCATCGTATGCAGCA